ACAAACAAAATTTTAAAATGTAATTCATACTTTTTTTAAAATAATTCATAAACAATATAAGTTCATTAAACAAACCACAAGGATTTTTTTCTTTCATTATAATAAACCTTGACATTTCAATCTTTTTTCTGAACCAAATACGAATTTAATCCTTGTTTATTTCGGGCTATCTCGATCGAGATAAACTAATAGCAAATTATATTTAGCAAAAAAATAATAAAAGTAAATCATTATGTGAATGTCTTTATTACCTGAATTCGTGTTACTAATTATTTGGTTCAATAAATTAGGCAACATAAAATAGTGTTGAACAAATTGCAGATCATCGATTTTAAAAAATGCTGTAATTACCAAATATTGTGTTTTCTTCCGTATAACCTCCATTAACATTCTTTCTTAACAAGGTTCCAAAATTATAATCATTGACTCTTTTTTCATACTTCATCATCCATTCACGCCAGATGTTCTTTGCTTCGGGCATTTTCATGGCATCTTCATCTACTTCCGCTATAGAAAAATCGGGAAACGTCTTCATAAAATCTTCGTAGATTTCGTCATCGATTCTGGTTTTACGAACAAATATCATTATAACGGATGCGTACATAAACATCCAAAAGAATAAAAATATCATACGAGGTTAAACGAAGGGATTTTCCATCGACGGATGATATCAACTTGAAGTATGTTTCCGCATGATGCATGGCCTTAACGGCCCATTGCTTCTCTAAAAGCAACGTACATATATATATTTTTTTAATTCAATTACTATAATGGTAAGATTTTAAAGCAAATGGCTTGAATCTGACAAACCGATTTCAGGAAGTTGTTCAAGCTCGTCTGCACTTGGAAGTGGCATAATGTAGAATTAGACCATGTTTGTCATAATAAAGAAATTGAAAAATAGAAGTGTTGATCGAAATTGTAACCAATGGGAACCAATTAAATTTGTACTTGATCACAAAATCTAAAAATAAAATAATCTAATTTGTTAATAAATTTTTTCATGTGATAAATAATAAACCAATTTTATTGGCTAATAATGGCTATTTTCCCATCTTATTCCAAAGTGGACTTAGAACAACATTATGATGGTAAAATCACCTCCCCGACATTTTTCGTCAAATGCACTAAAATTGATTTAAACTTAGTTTTTTGATTTTTCGCGGGCTATCTTGGAAGTTACACAACACTTTTAGGAGATTTTACTGGCTAATTTTTGCATTTACTAAAAAAATTTCCTAAAAATCGTTTGTGTATCTTCCAAACGCAAAACAGACCCACAGAAATACCAAAATACCTTATTCTTAAGTTTAGCAATATTTAAAAATTGAGTTTTTCCCATCGTAGTCAATGACTGAGGCCGAACCACCCATAAATCCTGTGTCAAATGGAAACGAATTTACCTCAACAGACATAGAAAGGTTATATTCTAGAATTCAAGCTGTTATTCAACCTCCAAAATCTTCGATATCTCCACGTCAAGTAACTCCTTTCGACAACATGAGTCCCGTGCGAAGTCAATCTCCGGAACCATTTAACGACGAAGCTGAAGAAAAAATAGAACCGCAACTTCCAGAGGTATCTGACGCTATTTTTGTCGAAGCTACAAATCAAAAAGAGAATGAACGTGATGGCACTGAAGGTAATTCAATAGACTGCCATTGTCAAAGCATCAAGGTGACATCGGGGACCGCAATTTGCAGTGACTGTGGCAGAAATATACCAATATTGGCACATTTGAATAGAGAACGATTGCAAAGTATTGATGATTTAGAGGTTGCCAATAATAGAATAAAGGAAGAATTTGATAAAGCGGAGCGACAGAATGATGAAATTCATAATTTACAAAAAAGAATTATAGAATTGGAAGATAAAATTGATCTAAAAACCGATGAACTAAACTCTAAAACTAAAGAATTAAATTCTAAAACTGAAGAATTAAATTTCAAAAGTGAAGAATTAAATTCTTTAAAAGAGGACATGGCTTCTCTAAATGACAAATATGTAGATGAAATTGAAAAAGTCGCAGAATTACAACATTCCAAAGACATGGTAGAGAATGAGTTGGAAGATTTAACTCAAAAACTTTTTGAAAGAGCCAACGAATTAGTGGCATCTGAAGCAAAACAGCGGCATGAATTACAACTCCAACATAATATTTTGAAGAAACAATTAGAAGAGACACAAGGACGTCTAACAGCAGAAAGTTCTCAACTAATGGAATTAAGAGAAAAGATGGAGCAAATGGTCCAACAGCAGTCACAAATGACAGAAAGCGAAAGATTGAGCTTCAGTGATCCTTTATTTAGAGCTAGCATTGATTTTGCTGAACTTTTTGGGCTTCGTGAAAAATCACCTGAAGCGGCAGCAACTTTACCCGGCCCAACAGGTGTAGATGGTATTGGAATTGACGCTGATCTAATAGCGGAGTTTAAAGATTTTGTTGAACAAAGTTCAACCGTACGACTTCAAAAAATTCATACTATCCCTTTCATGCGTCATTGCCTGGAAGAAGATGTTACACCTTGCATGAGATTCGGTAATAATCCACGTGTATTTTCAAGTAAAATAGTTGAAGCCATCGTTGCCAATACATGCTTCATAGAGGAAGCACCTCCAGGTGCTGATCGAGAGCAAGCTCTTAACCCAAATTCTCCAATCCGCGCCAGCGCGGCAAGACCAATGTTATGGGATCGTGCATTTGGAAATTCATCTGCAACAAGAATTGGTTGCCAATGTTGCGGTCGAGCGGGTCCATTAGCTTTTAGATACAGAATAACTAATTTGGATGATTGGTCACTTATTGATCGTTATTGTCGTGATCGTATGGTTGCTGTATGCGAATTTTACGTCTTTACACGTAATGTTCGTCAGGGATTATATAATAATCGTTCTATTTCGGACCTTTATGCTGAATGCTTAAGGTTAAGATTGCAAATGTTTTATGCGAGACTTGGTGCTTTGCCATCAATGCTCAGCTCACTTGGAATAAAGGGCACGGAGTTGGCATCTGCAAAGAAACCAACATATATACTACCAGAAATGGAAGAAAGTCCAGTGTTGGTTGTTAGTGATGATGCTTCTGGAACCTTATATAACGATCAGAAAGATTTTGTATCGGTGTCTCCACCTCCAAGAGAATCGCCACCACCGGACACCAGTGATAACAAATGAAAAATTTTTATGAAAATGAGCATAAATGATATGTCATTTAAATTGACAATGTCATTTATTTAAAAAGATTATACAAATCATGGCAAAATGACAAGTCATAAAAAATATTTTTATAAATGACATTTAAATAACAAATAAATGACAATAATACTAATACTATCTCCAATAAGCCAGGATATTATTATTACTAATCTTTGTAAATTGTACTTGTTATGCATGATTCTTCAATTTGTCATTTGTAGATTAGAAAAAACAATGTCATTTTGCAATTAAACTTATGCCTAAATGCTAAATACATAAAACATTTACTGTATTTCGAGATTTCAGCTTGACCATTTTTATCATTATTTTAACATGTGTTGCCTATTTTTAATTATGGGCCAGCTGGTATTATATGTTATGAATCGGTCGTTCTTCTTGAATATTATAAATTAAACATTCTTAAATATTGTAGGTTAGATATTCTTTGACACTATAGATCAGAGTTTTTAATATATTTTAATATTCATAATAATTTTTATCTTTCGTTTGTCATTTTAGTTACTGTATTATAAAATTCAGGTATTTGATCAAAGGTCTTAAGAGATTATTAAGAATTATTACGATATTAAGAATTGGCTCATTTTTCGATTGGTAGATAAAATCCTAGCATTACCACCAATTGAGGTATTTACACCAATAAATTGGCAACCGGTTTATTCGAATTATTTTGCACAAAAGGTTTATGTTATTATTGCTCATTATTCCTTTGATTTTTTATAAGTTTAAATACAAATAGAAATACAATAAGGAATACGATAGGAAAAATGAATCAATAATTTATAGTTAGAGCGATATGGATATGTTAGATTCCAAAAGGTTGTGTGAATCGCCTTTGATTTGTGGATATGCTTATACTTTCTACTATTGTTACATAAAAGGCAAGCGACATACAGAAAAATTCAGATTGTTGAGTAGCTACCGATAGCATAGACCACAGTATTTGAGGTATAATACGTTTTATAACCAAATTTCAACTCATACTTAAGTACACATTAGATTTTCGTAATTTACGATGGATCTCATTTCCCGATAATTAAAATTGACTCAATTTATAATAGTTAAGGTCAGCCTTTAAAGTTAACATTAGCTAGAATTATATAAAAGCGAAATATCTATTGGTGAAGAAGCGGGGTGCTCAATTCGTTAGGGTCATATATGATAATCATTTTTCTAAAGGTTTATTTCACATGAATTTCATACTAATTTAGTGCACTTAGAGAGGTGTTGCATTTATAGAGGTAAAAATCTATAGATGTAATGTTAATTGGGCCAAGAGAAGACGTGCATTTAGGAAGGTGTTTCATAGGACGTGCACTTAGGGGTGCATTTAGGGGGTTTGATTGTAGTTTATCTGAAGGTTTTATACTAATTGTCATATCTATAATCTAACTATAGAACTAGGAAATTATCTATTTAAACTCTGGTCTTATTATACGTATTGTTAATTTTATAAAGATATTTTGTTATACGTATAAATAAGTTAAAAAGTTTTAATGTTACAATTAACTAAGATATCAAAAAGAGAAATAAATAAAATGCATTAACTAATAATATGTTTAACAAAACAGAAAAGCAACCTACTAAGAATACTAAAAAACTACATAGTAGAATACAAAGATTTTGACAGTTGCAGAATATTATAACAAGAGTTAGCAATAAAAGTAAATAAGTGATTTACTAGCAAAATTAAACAAATAAGACATTTTTAAACAGTTAATAAAATTAAAAATAACATAAGGTTGTTGAAAAACAAAATTAATAAAAAATATACAAAAACTAGACAAAATGTCAGAAAATAATACATGCTAAAAAAATAAATTAGTTTGTTTGATAATATTAAAACTAAAAAAAATTAAAAAAAAAACAGAAAGTAACTTATAACTAATATTTAAATATAATATAAAATATGAAAATAGAGAATGGTCATCCTAGTATAGTAATTGGGTTGTTATTCTTCAAATGGCAAGTTTAAGGTTCAAATCCCATCTATAATAAAATTTAAAAATTATATTTGTATTATAGTAACTGTCTTCTGTTGATTAGTTAATCTCATGTAGCTATAACTCAAATATATCAAGTTGGATTCTACTGTTTTTCCACTCTAGACAGTACTCTATTTTTTTATAGTTAACTTTTTCTAGAAAAAATATTTTTCTACTTAATGTTTCCTTCTTTACTAGACTATCAGCTTTATTATTTCATTTGTTTCTTTTATAATTTTTTACTTTAAATCATTCTATCTAAATATTTTTTGTTTTAATTATATCAATATTTATAATATATTTTTTCTTTTAAAAACTTTATTTTTATCTATATATGTTAAGTCTTTACTAATGTTCCTAATTGCTGCATTGCTATCTGTATATATTTCTAATTTTTTCTCTTTTAATATTGTTAAAACTGCTGTCTATATTGTTAGCATCTTAGCTATAATCGATATAGGTCATCTTTATACTCCTAATGCTACCTTCTTTTCTGACCAATCTTATGCTTTGCTTGTTTGTATTTATCCTATATTTATGTTTCTATATATTGATTCTTTTTTGTTTTTCTTATTTGTTGCACTATCTGTATATATTGTATATTTGTTCTTGGCTTTTGATATATTTCTTCTTAAGATTTCTATTAGTTCTTGATTAATGTTTTTTCTTAGCTTTTGTTTCCTAACTCTACTTCTAAATTTTTTAACATTTTAAGTTCTATTAACTTTTGTTCATTTTCTTTTTAACTCTTCTGTTCTTATATATTCTATCAATTGATCAGTAGTTGTCTTAATTATGTTGTTACTTCTCTCTATCAACATATTTGAAACTACATTTATCTTGTTAATTCTTATCCATTATTGGTATTTTTTACTTTTTTTCTTCTCTTATACACTCTTTGTATTTGTCAATTCTAATTATCAAGTTATTTTTTATATTATGCACTTGCTAGTGTTCTATCAATAACTTTTTTTTTTTTAACTATTTTTCCTAATTGCCTATTCTCTATTGCACTATGTACTATCTTTTTTTTTTTTCTGTTTTTTGACAAAATTCTCTAATTAATCTTCATTGCCTATGTATTATATTTGTCTATCTTAAATTGTCCTTTAACTTCTTTGCTTTTAAATTTGTTTAGCACTTTGTTTCTATTGTCTTGAACCACTTTGCCCTTTTGACTTTATTTAATTGTTTCTGATAGCTTTTGAATTACTATTATGTTATTAGTCTTTCTTCTTTTATATTGAGTACTGATTTAAGTATATTAGTTTAGCTTTACTTATTTTGGCTCTACTTTTTTTTTACCTCATAATTCTACAGTTTGATTATTTTTGAACTATAACTGATTGCTGTTTATAATTCACTTTCTGTACTTATATTTATTCCTAACTCTTTTGCTTTAATTATTATTAAATAGGCTAAATTGTTCTTTCAATATAACTTGTCTTTTGGCAATTTTTCTATTTTTTATATTTCTTCTGCTAAACTTGCTCTTTAACAGCCCTGTGTTATTCTTAATTTTGTTAGCTACCTAGTTCATTTTTTCTATTTAGTTTTGCTAATAAAACCTTCTATTTGTTTCATTATTAGTTCTTGTCACAGAGTTTTGCAACTACTAAGGTCCTTATATTCTATTATGCAGTTATCTAGTGTTTTTAATAAGTTGCTTTTTTGTTTTACCAAATATATTATTGGTTGATGTATTTTATTTATTCTTTTTTCTAATATTTTTGTTAATTACAATATGTAACTTAATTTTGATATTATTACTATATTAGTTATGTATGCAATTTGGCTTATTATTATTTTCTTGTACTTAAGGTCTCTTATTACTTAGCTTATTATTTTTTTTGTTTTTTTCTTTACTAAAACTTCTTCATTCTGTTGTTTAGCCAGATTTCCAATAAACAAACTATTTTGTTTTTTAGCTCTTCTATTAACTTGCTTCTTCTAAAGGTTATTTCTTTTTTCTTTTTTTTAACTTTTCTTTTCATTATTATTAGTTTTGATTTAGATCTATTTATTTCTATATTATTCATTTTAAAAAACTCTTCTAATACTTTTAGGGTCTTTAGCAATTGTTTATTATTATTTGCAATCCACATTGTATTATCTGCATATGCGATTGCTACTTGGCAGTAACTTGTAACATTGTTATACTGTATTTCTTCTTTAATCTCTTGTTCTACTATATAATCTAATCTTTTAGCTTTCTGTATCTTTTCTAGTAATAAATCATAAAACAGCTACTATATTAGTAATAATATTACTTCACCTTGATCTATTTTATCTTCTGCTATTATTTTTCTGTTAGGTCATAAACTGTAATTATTTTAAGCTGCCTTTTGTAAAAAAAGTTTAAAATATACTTAATTGTTATTCTGAGTATTTTAATTCTTTGTAGATCTAGCTCAAAACTTTTAAGTGAAACTGAATTGAATGCCTTTTTTATATCTTGTAAAAATATCCACAGCTCTTTGTTCTTTTTTTTTATTTCTTCTATTATCATGTTTAGAATATGTACTGATTGTTTTGTAAAGTTTCTTGGTAGCCTTGCATAGTTTAGTTCTTTAAGTATTTCTTTTTCAGCAAACATTTTGCTAAGTTTTTTTGTTATTAATTTTGTTATTATCTTTTTAAATGTTTTGATTAGTGCTATTGGTCAAATATTGTTCAAACTGTATTTTTATTTAATGTTTTTTGGTATTAAATATATTTGTACTATTTTTTATTTCATCAGTATCTCTCCTGCCTCTAAGCATATGTTTGCATAAGTTCTAAAAACTACTTGTGTTTTTCTCTTTACTTATTTAATTAGAATATAGTTTATTTTTAATTTTTCTGAGGATGTTCCTGTTTTGAGTTCTTTAATTATCTCTTTCCATTCTTCTTTTTCACTTTTTTTTCAATTTCTTATACTATTCTTCTTTAATATAGTTTTGTAGTTTATATATATTTCTTTTCAGGCTTCTAATA